AATTGCAGAAACTATTGGCCATCGGCGTTCATTATTTCGCCAGAATTCAATGACCTCTTCTGAACTTTTCCTAATTGATTTGTTACTAGGCAAAGTATGACTAAAGTAATCAATTAATTCAGATGGCAACGCATTTGGACTAGTACTCGAAGTTTGAATACATGCAGTGGAAGTCAAACTACTACTACTATTACTAGAGGAACCACATGTATATACAGTTGAATCATATCTATATGAGTTCATGTTTTCGAATAAATTTAAATCTTCAGCGTCGTCATCTGTTATATTAGTGAGATGAGCAGTTGTAGGTACACGAGTAATATGTGTACACATTCGTGAAGCATATAATTCATACATTTCACTTAACGTTTGTTCCAAATTCCTATAAGTAATAAGCATATTAAAAGTAAAACATTTGAAATTTGATCATTACAAATTTAGTACCCGATAAATTATATCGGGGGTCGTGACGCATGTTAAATGAAATAACATAGGTAATTCTTCCCAATATTTTCTAAATTTTAATTCCATGGAATATATAACCGAATGAAAATCGGGATCATTTTGAAATCTCTTAAAAGTCCTAGCAGTTATATAAAGATTTTAAAGAACTATACAACTAGTGGGATAATAAATATCAGACAATATATTTGTAGACTCATAGAAACTTGTCAAAATTTTTTTAATTTTAAAAACTACATTCCAATCGGATTCATTAAAAATAGTATCGTTTTCGTCTCTAACATGCCTATTGTTATAAAATTCAATAATAAACGCTTCAAAACCTTCACATGATTTTAATAATAAGTAAGTTGAGTTCCATTTATGACCTACGTCAGTAATAAATGTTTTTGTTTGCGTCTTCCCACCTTCCTCACAAAATTCCTCGAATGCTTGTTTTCTATTAGGTGTAATCGTGATATATATAAGTGCATTCCTAATTCGGTTAATTTTATCTTTAACATGTTTTAAACCGTCTTGTACTATTAAATTAAAAATATGGCACACACACCGAATATGAAATAAATAACCACCGAAATCGGGTTGAAGTACTCTATGCAATTTATCGATAACAACCTTATTTACAGAAGCATTGTCGAACTTAAAAGAACGAATTTTACTCTCACATTTATATTCTCTAATTATTAATATAATAGCATTAAATATAGTTTGAGCGTTGTGAAGATACTCAACAATTTTAAAAGTAATAATTTTTTTATGCATGACTCAAAGTGGGTCTATATAGTGTGCAGTTGCAGCTATATAACCTCTCTTATTAATCCCTTCCCACATATTCGAAATTAAAGATATCACACCCCCATATTTTTCTAAATTCGCAATCAATAATTTCTTTGAATTAAGAAAATATTCAATTGTATTAGAACGAATAGTATTTCGACTTACCCCAACATACCTCGGTTGAAGATATTGTCGAACGTAGTTTACAAAATGTTTGTTGTCCACTATTGCTGGTGGTAGCTCCGCCGCGGCAACGAATTTCACCATTCCCGTTCGAGCTTCCTCCTCCTAATACATCCGCGTAGAAAGTGGCGTAGTAGTAGTACCGGCGCCTGGAGTATCAAACTGTAGTTGCGTTTGACCAGCTGGAAGAAGCCCATGTTTGGCCACACATGTTTTGTAGTGACGGTTGAGGTGGGTGGTTCCAATGCCTTTTTGTCATGTCAATCGTTGTTGGCAATATTTACATACTTCTTTGGTTTCTGGAAGTCTATTGATCACACGACCAGTGTGAACCAATTTGAAATGGTCCCAACATTTTGCCTGCTTCTTCCCCTTTCTCTTCCCTCTTGCATCGAGAATATTTATTGTAGGTTCTTCATCTTGTTCCAAATCAATTGGAACACTAGGATCAAGATCAACGTCATCAAAATCAATTGGATGACTACCTTCACGAACGTCGAAATCTTCAATGTTTTCTAGAATTGGTAATTCATTGAGACCGGCAAATTCATTCCCAAATTGATTTTGCGCAGCTATTTCGTCTTCCATACCGAACAAGTTTTCAACAAATTGTCGTGGATCCATTTGTGAATAATAGAAATTGAATGTTGAAAACTTGAAGTAGAATGTAGAAATGTAGAATTGAGAAGTGAATGAAGATTATGTAGTAGTGTATAAAATGAATTGTAAAAGTAAAATCAAGATAATAATGTAAAAAAATTGTAGAACTAGAAGATGAAGATGAAGATGAAGATGATAATAGAATGAAATGAATTGATAATTTGATATTGTTGAATGTTGATCATTTGTAAATTGTAAAGAGTAGAGTAGAAAATGAGAGGATTGGTGGGAAAAAATGTTGATTAGGGGGTGGGTATTTATAGAAAAAAAAAAAATTTCAGTGACCAAAACGGCCACTGAAAAGTTTTGGATTTATTTTTTATTTTATTTTATTTTTAATAAATAATATGAGTCCACGAGCCGCTCGGCTCGTGGGCTCGTCTTAGATGACCTGGCTCGCCGAGCGGCTCTTCTAACGAGCTAGCCCGCTTGGCTCGTGCTCGACGAACCCTACCAGCTCGTGGGCTGCTACAGTACGAGCCGACGAGCAGATCGGCTCGATTGTCACCTCTACCCGCCTCGAATTCGCCCCGTTGCCATCTCTAAGCTGAATAAAGATTTTTCGATTTTTAGTCCAGTCAACTCGTTCACATTGAATTACCATTGTGCCCTCGGAAAATGACAACTGACCAAACAAAATATTTATATGACAAATAATTATTATGTACCAAACCATTTTTGTGCAACAATATTCTGCCGTCGAAGAACTCAAAATCCCATCATCATCGTTGACATGAACCCAATAATATCGATTTAGAGACAATAGATTTCACTAATGCACAAAATATAAGTAAATTTTTGTAGTTTTGAGATTCTTCGTGTCTTGATTAATAATGCATTGGTTGAAAAAGCAAAGTTTGATTAAGATTATGGATGAGTAAGATTTGAATTGGCTTTAAGTGAGAAAAAGTGGATGTGGTTCGGTTTCTGGCATTCCAAATGGTTAAAGGGGGTGAAAATTTGAAAATAAAAAATAATAAATAGTAAATTCGATAATTTTATTATCCAATTATATTCAAATTAAGAAAAGAAAACTAGATTTTAAACAAATCAAATTATTCTACACAACATAAATGAATGAAACGTCAAACGTGCAATGTATGTGAGGAAAATAAATAAATGAAACTAGTCAAACGAGGTGGGGTCTGACCGTAGTGGTGGCAATGGGTCGAGCTGAGCCGGCTTGGCCCATCTACCCATGAGCTCGGCTTGTGCTCAAGGGTCGAGCTCAGCTCGGCGAGCTCGTGAACTAATGGCTCCTGGGCACGGCCCACGAGTCGCTCACGAGCTTGACGAGCCGAGCAAGGCTCAACTCGCCTGGCGAACCCCTGGCTCGGCTCGAGCTCGTCCAGAAACGAGCCCGAGCCGCCCACAAACCAAGCCGACGAGCTACTCGCCCCTTTTGCCACCCCTACCTGACCGTCACTTGTTCATATGGAAATAAATAAATAAATTATCAGCACAATTCATGATTGAGGAAAGATTGTGTTTTTTCAGCTAGAGAAATTAATATATATTTTTATCAAAATTAAAGTCAATAATTAATTTTAAGTACATATTTTATGGAATTCATAATTTCTTAACCACATTTTTTTTTATCAATTTTTATCAGAATTTGCTAAAAATTTAATTTTAATTTTCACCAAATAGAGTCATATGAAATTACCATTATGTCCTTTGACTTTAATTTTAGCCTATGTTTGATGGCTATTATTTGAGAAAAATAATAGTTTGAATAGTGATTTTTAGGAGAATATTTTGTTAAAGAGTAGGAATTTTTTTTTAATTTACGTGTAGAATATTTTATTGTGAAAATGTATGGTTGAAAATTAATATATAGAAAAAAGAATCTTCAAATAATGATTTTCAAACAGGGACCTCAAAAAATGTACCAGCGATGTGGCCAACAGATTCCAATGCCTTTCATGTCCACGCAAGTTGTATTCCTGTACATTTGGACAAATCGTTAGTTACACGTGGCCTTCTCGGGAGGAGTGGAGTTGGTCGTGCGCACTTCACGGTCAGCGCGGCCAACTCTACCCCTCCCGGAGAAAGCCACGTGTGACTAACGATTTGTCCAAATGTGCAGTAATCTAGTTTGCATGGACGTGAGAGACATTAGGATCTGTTGGCCACATCACTGGTACATTTGTTGGGGTCAAAATGGCTTAACCACACTTTCTGGTGTATTTATAAGCATTATTTATTTATTCATAACTCATTTATATCTATTCTTAAATTAAACTATTTATGAAAGAAAAATTCTTCCCATATAGAGAATAAGAAAAGAATATGGACGGACACTTTGGTAATTTGAAGTGAGGTACTACATACCTTAACTAGATGGTCAAGAACGTGGCATTTACGTGACCAAAATCAAATGAATTAATGATTTTTGCGGTGCGACTAGTCAAACGAGGCAGGCTCGATCCCACCGTTAATTTCATACGTCAATTGATGGGCTGCGGAAATTAATGGAGATACACTAATGCTTCTTTTTGCAACCCAACTTAGTGTAGCATAACTCATGGAGATAAGGAGATTCTTGTGGTGATGTGTAGGTCCGGATGACAACTCTGCCACCAAAGAATCAAACCACACGCTTGGATACTTCTCTTCCAGCATTATTATTTTTTTTCTTTCATTGACTATTGACACATTCTTTTAACACTACTTTTTAATTGCATATTAGGTTAGGGTGGATTTAGGGTTAATTCCCTATATGATCATTGAACTTTTCTTAAAGTTTTCATGGGGTCACTGAATTAAAACTTAAAAATTATCCCTGTTAGTCACTTAACTTTGAAAATTGGTACCCTATCCATTATTATATAAACGATGCTCGCAAAATTAGAGGGATTTGATGACATATCTAATGATATGACTTACGTAACACGCAATTAGAAATTATAAATCAAATTTTTACATAAATCATACTAATTAGTTAGAAACTATAATAATCCAGCTAATAAAGTTCATAAAATTCAGCAAAGAGTTCTATATTTAGATAAAGTCATGCATTCAACGGTCATTAAAAAACCCAAATATGTATTGGACGATTTGTGAATAAAAAAGAGTCACATACACGTACACTCATGCTCAATGTCATCAAATCCTTCCAATTTTGCATGTGTCGTTTACACAATGATAGATAGAGTACCAATTTTCAAAATGAAGTAACTAATGGGGGAAATTTTTAAATTCAGTGACCTCGTGGGAACTTTAAGAAAAGTTCAGTTACCATTTAGGAAATTAACCCGTGGATTTACATGCAGTAGTTGATTACACGGAAATTTTTGAATTCTTGTTTTCGTCTTTTTTTTTTTTCCTTTCACTTTCCGCCTCTTAAGCACTCTCTGAGGGCATGGAATGTCTAATTTTTTTTGGTCGGAATCTCCACAGTAATGTCTTTATTAGATTCTCTGGTCGAAATACGGGAAAACTCCATTCAATTCTCGATGGTAGCGGAGTTTTGCGAATTCTCCCAAAAACTAGAAGATCATTTTGAGAGCTTCAAACATATTCGAGGGTTCAATGTGACTATTGTCACTTCAGCCAACACACAATATGAGACTTTACCACCGTGGACGTGGAGCGGCTAACTTCTCTAAAGCTTGAAATCTCATTCTACTTTCAATACATAAATGCCTTTATCAAATAATGATCTTTCTCTATTCTAAGTTTTGAGTTTTAATGAGCAATTTTAATTTAATGTATTTGATACTTATTATTTTTACTTAATTAGAATTTATAAAAATGTTAATTAAAAAATAATCAAATTAAAATAAATATCAATAAAGTTAAATCATTAAATACTAAAAGGATAGAAAATGATATAGAAGAAATTACAAGTTGTTGTAATATAAAATGAAGGACAAAACGGGAATGATGAATAACTTCAAAAATTACACCAAAAGAATAGTATTATCATTGGAGTAGATTTTTACACCAAAACGCCAATTTGGAGCTATTGGGGATGTCATGAGGACGCTGTATTTGACAATATTTATAATGATATAATTACACAACAGTTTCAAAGTACGAAAATGCGTAAGCAACGTTTATAATCATTTATAGATTTTTTTAATTTAATTTTTGACCTCATAACAAAGCATGTCTAGCTCCTAATTGGTTGGGGTCTTTAATATTTGCACTTATTTATTTTCATTTTTATTTTTGTCGAATTAAATTTTTTATCTAGAATTTTTTGTGCAAAAAAAAAATTATTGATTGAAATGACAATTGCATAACAAAACATATAATTTTCACAGAACTAACCAAATATAAAGGCATCCAAACTTTTGTTGGGCATATATTCGTAGAGTAAGATCTTCTCATTCCCCTCAATGCAGTAACCCAGAAGTCGAACGAGGTTACGGTGTTGAAGCTTAGCAAACAATACAACTTCATTTTGGAATTCATCAGAGCCCTGTGCTGAAAAGCTTGACAACCATTTCACTGCAATTTCTTGCCCGCCAGGTAACGATCCCTGTAGGAGTTTGAGAACAAGAATTTAAACATAACGGCACAAACAGTCAAACTTGATTATATATAGGAAACAATTTTGGAGAAAATCATAGTAAAACCTTGTAAACAGGTCCAAATCCCCCTCGCCCTATTTTGTGTACGTCTGAAAAGTTTTCTGTAGCTGCTAATATACTTTTCCAACTGCAGAAAGGAACACCGGTATCATTCTTGTTATCTCTCCCAAACTCCAAGTATGCTACAGACGATCTCATGACTGCTTTTGCAGTTCCAAGTATATGCCTTCGCCGTCTCCGGATCACGACCCCAACAATGGCTAAGAGCACCGTAACAACAGCAACAGAACCCACAATAGCGCCTACTGGAACCCCTTTATTTTTTTTGGTGCTCAAAAACTGAGGGGCAGAGGCAGCAAGTCGAATGTAGATTGTTCTTCCAGTGCCATCATCTTCCGAGAGTTGTTGCAAGCCTAATAATTCAACATTCCAAACCAAGCATTCATTGCCATTGTAAGAATAAGCTGTACAAGAGCAAATATTCAAGCATATAGATTCACATTCTCCAGCACTCCCTGCATTCACTGATTGAGATTCATCAGGTAACGTAACTTGGGAATTCGCCAAAAAAATGTGTTTTATTCCCGTAGTAGTATTATCATTCCTACACTGCAAATCGATCTCTCTTACGCACATCTGAAAAATCGGTCAAGTTCCAATGATACTCCGACTTCGGCTTAAATCCCGGCAAACAAGAACAGAAAGGCAATGAATTCTGATTGCAGATACCAAATTCCCCACAATAAGCATACACTTCACATTGCTGCCTAGGCTGAGACCAAAACAAATTCCACTCCTTCGTTTGCTCCGACCATGATATCTGCTTAATTTGCCCGGAAACATCCATCACCAATTTTGATATAATTGTAGAATTATAAAGAGAATAAGTGAAATAAGTCTCATTAACATTATCTACATAACTAAAATTAAAGATATAATTCAGCCTCATTTCAGGGACTAAACTGAAAATATGCCCATTCCAAGCTCCACTAGTCCAGTACTTTCTAGACCTACTCCGTGTTATAACATACTGACTCTCATTGGGATTCAGCTCAAGAGAGAAAGGCCCAAGTGAAGGATCCTCAGAATTTTTCCAAGAAGTGAGGATCTGCTTTTCGTTTGTACGTTTGTCATAGGCAAGTTTTCCACCAGGTAAAAAAGTATCTGTTGGGTTATCAAAACTTTGCCAAAATCTTTCAGTCGACGTAGGTTTTGACCCATCTCTCAAAACTAAATTCCCATCATCACCTAGAGTTGCCACCACAGATTTTGAGGTTGTCGAGCTTACACTGGTGGACCAAAACGAAACCTGGGAATCCAGAAGCACCAAATTACCTTCTGAAATTTTCAGTTCTGCAGAACTCGTATTCGAAATGGGTGTCTCTCTATTAGCTACCCAAACTATGGTCCTTTGACTAACATTTTTGTACCATATTCCAATATAATACCTGGAAGGAGAACCTAAATTGAAGAATCCCAGTTCAAATGTGTTACCAGAAGAGACAATAGTCTGGCTTCCAGAGAGAGATAGGTTCGCTGTGATGCTATCAGCTCCTTCTGATAGATTATTGTTTATGGAGAAACATAAGAAAAACAACACAAAGAACATGCAACAACAAGTGTCTTTCATGTTCATGGCTGCCGAAAGCGTGAAAGCGGATAAGTGGGAAAATTACATTTGGGAAGCTTGGTGTTTTTTTTTTCTTCAAAGGTAATATAGTTGGATGGACAAAAATATCCCTTGCAAAAGACCAGACGTGGAAGTTTCATCAAATTTGAAGCCCTTGTAAAATTGAATCGGGACTCAGAGTACAATATTTCAAGCTTTATCGCAAATCCAAAATCTATTCGAGTTCTGCTTAGATTAATTAAATTTAGTATAAATGGAAAACGAATTCAAATATACCTATAAATCTAAGAAACAATGTATATTTTACTTATTTATTTATTTATTATAGTATACTGATTGATCGATATAATATTTCAACAGTTTTCTTGAATTTTAAACTAATTTTTGCTTCAGTCAAGATTTGATTGAGTAAAGTTGGATTAAATTCATGATATTTGAACTTTTATAATGGATTCACTAGTCATTTGCTAAATGATCATTTTTTGTGCTCTTATTAAGAAATGTGAGAAAAATAATTTGATTTATGAAAATGCCTAAAATTAAACTACACGGTACCTCACTGCAAAATGACCAAAATGTCCACGGATTTATGAAGAAAAAAATTGTGTTTTCATTTTTCTGTTACAAAATTTTACTGTTGACATTCTATTTTTCTTTAATTTATGTGAAGAAGTAAATCATATGCTTTTCTACTGCAACTAGTCAAATGAGGCTGCTGCAGCTAATCAAGTCAGGAGATGCCGTGTGGAAATTAACGATCCATGAAAGTTCTTGTGATTTAAGACTTTGGAGTGTTAGGAAACAACAAAGAGATGGAGACTGGAGGAACAAGAAAATTATTGAAGAAAACTGAAAATGACAGGGTTGAACGCGTTGTCTTTCAACAATTTTTTTCTCCTCTCTTTTTTTCGGAGTGCTTATAGGATTTCCAACAAATAGCTATAAGAATATGACAAGCCTTGATGAGTTTGCACCAAACAAAGATGAAAACTAAAAAATTAACGATGTACAGATTGAATTTTCTAAAAATATATATAGTTTGTTGACATTCTAATCTAGTGGGACTCGGGCATCAATAAATTCCAACTTCTCTTCCATCCACACGTACATTACCTGCACACTTGGACAATTGTGTTTAGAAGCACAGGCCTTCGTTCCAAAACGGACAATATTTGAATATGAAAGAAACACGAAAGTCAAAAATATAGAAATCAAGTGTAGATTTCACATTTCCTATCAAATGACAAGAAAAGTTGGGTATTTATTGACCAATGACAGTGGACATGGCCACTTTTATACTTGTCAAGTAATCACATCCTAATGGTTTACATGCTAGTCTCAATAGAATTGCAATAATGCTCCTTGGACATGAGAATGGTAGAGATGGGGATGATAGGGTGGTGTGATGATAGTGAAGTGTTGTGTTTTTTTCCCCAAACTATTCAATAACGTATTGACATGTGTCCTCTTTGTCATTGAGCATATCACTATAACAAGATTGATAGATTTAGTTTAGTTGTACAACTAAATTTGACAATTAATTTGACAATAGTGAATTGTCAAGATTTAGACCATTGATGTGAGAAACAGTTTTCAAAGTGAATGGATGTAAGGATGTCAATTTGACTCGTCAGCTCGGACAGCCCACGGCTTGATCCAAAAAAAGCCCTCGTCGGCTCGACTCGTAACTCGAGAAAAGCGAGCCGCCTTATTTTTGGGCATCGACCCAAGTCTCATCTGGCCCGTGTTTTAAAATGTAGGCTCGGATAAGGTTTTTTAAAATATCTTTTGATGTATTGTCAAATCATAATTATATTTTCATGGGCCATCAGACAGTTTCTTTAAGATTGCACATAAGTTAAAAGGAAAATTTAAATTTCACGCTTACAAAAGGAGAAAAAAACACGATCCGTCTCGGCCTGACTCAGTTCGATAAGGCCCAGATCGAGCCTAGAATTTTTGGCCGAGCAACTCGAGCCAAAAAAGCTCGAACCGTTTTTTACCCAAGCCTTGCTTAAGCTACGACTTTTGGCTTGCAAGCTGGCTTTGCTCGTTTACATTTCTAAGTGGATGTGATGTCTATAAAGTACGAAATTGTAATGAAAGTTATAAAATCTTTTTGTACAAACAACAAGATTGATCTCAATAATGTCTAGTACTAGCCATTATAGGCTTGTGACCTTCGTATCTTGTCCTAGGTTGATTAGTAGGAATTTATAAAACAGGAAATGATTTGCATTATGTCCCATCTGATCCATCTTATAGCAATCTCATGATCCTATCATCCCTAATTATATCCCTTCTAGCCCTATCCTCGTAATCAATACAGAGTGCACCAAATGTAACCTCCTAGTACCATTTCTATTAATAATAATAATTTGTACGACTCAAGTACATGTACTTTGATAATCATTCCCAATAAAATTTAAATCTCGACCCGATTCAAGAAGTGTAGACTTAACCTACAATTTCTTGTACTATTAACAGAAAAAACTGTCTCAAAAGCAACCAACGTTGTCTTTACAAACTCAGGGTATCGATACTAACGTTAAGAAATCTTAACGAGGGTCTTAACTTTGCATTCCAATCACAATTGAAGTAAAAAATTCAGTAAAAGAAAATGATAAATTTGCTTCGTTTAGAATCCTAATTATAGCATCAAAATGACAAAAAGGTCAAAAAACCAAATCACAAAGAAGTCATAAGTTAAAGCAAATGTTCAAGTCTGAAAAACTTGAAGAAAAAGAGATTACTAAATCCTCAAATGTGTTCTTAGAGAGCTCCCAGAGTTCCCTGGCTACAACTTCAGCTGATAGAGAAATTAGAGTTAGAGCTCAGAAGCTTGCATAAATCATTCAATTCATGCCGTTGAGTAGTAGTCTTTGTTCCAATTGGGGGAAGGCACCGATGCCTGCTCCCGGATTATTTTTTCGAGGCAACTGCTTGACTTTAACAACCATGAATTGATGAAGACGATGCCTTGTGAGAAGAAAAGCCATGGGTTCCCTATCGGGTAGCCTTTAGTTCGGCATGAAGCCCGCAGTCAGTTTGATAAGTGCTCAAGCCTAGTAGAGTAGAATCGTCAACTGTATCTCAGTGTGCCAACTTTCATAGATTTACTGTTGTAGTAAGTGAGATGCAGAAGAAGACTTTATAAGTATTTCTTCAACTGTTCGCCACCTACATTCTTTTGCGCCAGATTTCCTTCCAGGATTATAGCTTGTAAAGAATCCACAAGTTGACCATGACATTTGGTTTGTAGAGATTTTGCTGTAACGCAAAACCAATACATTCAATTTGAGGAGGCGCTGAAGAGCTTCAACCTCGCTGATCTTATTACCAGCTAAGTAAAATCCTTCAGGGAAGCGTTGCCTTTCCAAGAAAAAAAACGAAGTGGGGAAAGAGAATACTTACTGGCAAAAGAGGAAAGTTTTTTTTTTCTTACATCAAAAAGTGAACTTACAACCAATATAGAATAAGTGAAAGAGCTATCAAGTTTGGCTGTACAAGGGCCATATTGAACAAAGTCTAAAAGCTGAATTTCCAAAACAACAATCACATCAGCTCAGTCTCTACATGCCCTTTTTCCTTGTATTGTAGATTGATCTTTGATAAAACTAAAGTTGGAGTTTAAGTAGTAAACTTCACCTTCACAATCTCCTTTACTATCCACATTGAACCCATCAGACACAGGTATTATCCATTTTTTTGCTGAATCAACATAGTAATAACTATAACTCTCATCAGCAGGATTTTGATCTGTATTCTTGTCGTGGTTTGATGCACAGTCATATCTTTCTTGGTTTGATGTTACTTGTGCACCAGAAAAGGATTTTCACCTGTGATCCGAAGCTTATCTAGGTGCATGCACAAGACGATCTAAAGCATCACTGGATGGCCAAACTTTCAAACAAATGCTGGTGCAACATGATTACATTTTCAAACGAGATAACCATTTGTTTCGAAATTCGCTAGGCCAGTACATAACTGTTACCTTTTTCTTTATGCTCAGTTTATTTTTATCCATTCATTTATCTCTTTCTTAATGATACCCAAAGAATAAAACATTAAAAAAGAGGGGTAAAAATGAGTGTACAACAGATTGCTATCTTAGTTTAGTTGTATATAACTCAAGGATAATGTAGAATAATTTATTTACTGACGACTTCCTTGTTACTAAATTTGGTTGAACATACAAAGATAAACACTAATGGAAGGAAATAAGCAAATTCCTCATCCCTCTTGTGGAGCAGACAACGACAATTAATTGGAAATTGAATCTGGTTTATTAGAGGATGATGATGATGTGCTCAAAACACGTTTTCTCATTATGAAAGCTGGTTCACTAGGAACTGGAAGAACTGCAGTTTCACCACTAAGCATGAGAACTACATTTGACATGGTGGGGCGATCATTGGGATCGTCTTCCACACACAGCAGCCCAACATTAATGCACTTTATAACTTGAGATTTCTCACAAGAATCAAGCAGTATAGGGTCCAATAAATCAAGTGCCTTGTTTTCATGTCACAATCTCCATGCCTGCATCAATAGCTTCAAAATAATTTAGAAAATGAATTCAGTAAAAGAAATTGCTTATAAATAGAGGAATTTGGCAGCTTACATAACCCAAGAGATTCATGCATTCTGTGAATTGATAAAATCCTGTGTTTATCTTTCCACTTATTATCTCGAGAACAACAGCTCCAAAACTAAATATATCTGACTTTATTGAGAATAGCCCGTCCAACGCATACTCCAGAGACATATAACCACTGGATCAAGATTACAGATGTGACTATGTAATTATGACACAATATAGTATGTCGATATCCATAAATAAGCATAACAAAATAAAAATCGTCATTGTTGATATCATTTCACTTGGTACGGAGGTGCCAAAGTCTGTACAACGCTTTGGACTGGAAAGAAGAAACAGAGGCCACTGGCATTAATAACCTTCATTAACCAACTAGACAAATGTGAATTCTAAACTGGTTAGTTCATTTCAAAGTCTTCTCACATAAATATGTGGCATGGCTGGAGAAATAGAGGGAGATTGAAAACAAAAGGCGGAGCTAGAGTGTTCATTCTTCAAGATCATTTTCTTTCTCTAGTTATCAGTGATCTGGTTTTCCTTAATTTCTGTTTCAGAGAGATATATATCTTGCATTCACAGCCTAACTTCATTTGTTCATAGAGAAGCTAGCTCAAAAAACTAAGCTCCATGGTCGTAGCATTAACTGAACCCCCAGAACAATATTCTGTGCTGTACTTCTTAAATTACTGTTTTCTTTTGTGCTTATTCCAAGAACTGAATTGCTCGAACTAGACCAATATCTGGAGTTTGTGCGTACAAGATCATAATAATCGTGATAAGAGAGGAAAAACTTTGGTATCTCTTGCTTTCAGTAATCTCTATGTAATTATATGAATTAAACTGACACTTACCAGGTTCCCATAACTTTGTGGGTGCTTGCTTTTGTTGCTTTACCCTCAACAATTCTTGCCAAATCGAAGTCTGAAATTTTGGGGTTCATCTCTTCATCTAGCAGAATCTTGCTTGTTTTCAAATCACTATGAATGATCCTCAATCTTGAATCATGGTGAAGATAAATAACCCCTCTTAAAATCCCCAAGATGATGTCAAACCACTTTTTCCAGTTCAGTAACAAGCATAGTTTTTGATCTAGTAATTTTTGTGAAAAAATAAAATAAATATTGATTGAAATTGACAATTTCATTATAAAAGTTATCATTTTCATGAACTAACCAAATATATTGGCATCCAAACTTTTGTTGGGCATGTATTCATAGAGTAAGATCTTTTCATTCTCTATCATGCAATAGCCTAAAACACGTACGAGGTTACGGTGTTGAAGCTATGCGATCAATACAACTTCATTCTGAAACTCATTAATGCCTTGCACGGGACATCTTGACAACCTTTTCACTGCAATTTCTTGTCCTCCAGGAAACATTCCCTGCAGACGTTGTGAACTAGAATTAATATATTAGGGCACGAACTTGATTATATGGAAAAAAAATTTTGGGGAAGACCATATTAAAACCTTGTAAACAGATCCGAATCCTCCTCGCCCAAGTTTGTGTGCATCTGAAAAGTCCTCTGTAGCGGCTAATTAACTTTCTCAACTGCACAAAGGAACATCAATACCACTCTTGTAAATATCTCCCCCCAACTCATCAAAGAAATTTTTGGTTGCAACCTTCAAGCCGTCCTCGTACCCAAATGCTACCAATGATCCCTCGACTGCTTTTGTAGTTCCAACTGTATGTTTATGACGTCCCCATGTCATGAGCCAAACAATGGCCGATAACAACCCCTTTATCTTTTTTAGTGCTCTATTTGGTGCTCAGAAGCTGGACAGCAGAGGCAGAAAGCCGAATATAGATAGTTCTCCCATTGCTATCATTGTCCGAGAGTTTTTTCAAATTCATTAGTTCTCCATTCCAAACTAGGCATTCATGGCAATCAGAAGAATATGCTGTACAACAGCAACTATTCAAGCATGTATATTCACATTCTCGAGCACTCTTCACCATCACTGATTGAGAATTACTAGGTAACATAACTTGGGAATTCGCCAAAAACTTATCTTTTCCATCCGGACCATTCTCACACCACAGATTGTTCTTTCTCACACAGCCACCGGAGTAATCCTTCGTATTCCGATCCTTTTCCAAATTTTGCACAAATCCAGGCAAACAAAAATAGAACGGAGATGAGTACTGATTGCAGGTACTAAATGCCCCACAATAAGCGTACACCTTACATTGTTGCCCTGGCAGAGACACAATCAAAATCCACTCCTTCGTATTCTCCACCATAATGTCTCCCTAAGTTGGCCGGAAACCTCCATCACCAATTTCAACATAGTAGAAGGTTTATAAAGAGAATATGTGAAACAAGTCTCATTAACATTATCAACATATGTAATAATATTAAAGATATAACTCAGCCTTATTTTAGGGACTAAACCGAACATGTACCCATTCCAAACTCAACTAGTCCAGTATTTTACAGTCCTATTCTTGATTATATTGCACTCATGACTCCCATTAGGGTTCTTGCCCAGCTCAAGTGAGAATAGTCCAGGTGTAGGATTCTCAGAATTTTTCCAAGAAGATAAGATCTTTTTGTTTTTGTACGTTTGTCATAGGAAAGTTTTCCACCTGGCAAAAACGTATCTGTTGGATGATCAAAATTTTGCCAGAATCCGTCAGTTGACTTATGTTTTGAACCAACCCTCAAAACTAATTTCCGTCATCACCTAATGTTGCCACTACAGAATTTGAAGTTTTCGAGTTTACGCTCGTGGGCCAAATCGAAGCCTAGGACTGCATAAGCACCAAATTTCCTTCTGAAATTTTTAGTTATGCAAAATTCATGTCTGAAATGGGTGGTCTCTCTTTTTACTACTCAAACTATGGTCATTGTGACGTAGGACAACCTTGCTTTGGAGTTTGAAGAAGTGTTGGACATAAAATTGACAAAAAAAGATCGCGCTAGGGGCAATTTTGGCATTTGTCGCGACGGTGTCGGAATGGGCTGAAATTTGGCTGGTTGATTGGAAATAACCCAAAAATTTAGACTCGGGGCATAAAATCTCGAGATTTTAGCCAAATTCCTTCGTTTAGGCCTCCAAAAAATTAATTTTAGTATTTCCCGTTTGAATTTTCGCTATTTTTGGAACAAATTCCTTCGTTTACGCCTCCGAATAATTAATTTCCATATTTTCCGTTTTGAATTTTAGCTATTTTTGGATCTTTTTACTATTCTATGTTTTTAAGGTTTCTTGTAACACCTATTTAAAGGCGTTTTGAACGTTTTTGGCATAATTATTAATTGCATCGTTTTTGGAGAATTCCAGTTTTCTTATTTTCAAGATTTACGCTGGTAAATCTTTTACTTCCGTTTTACGTCAAGTGGTATCAGAGCTCGAATTTGCCTTGTTCAATGGCCAACAACAACGAAGTTGGAAGAAATCATCCTCGTGACGCTGGTCGCAGGGATACAGATGCAGATCTGTGGGCAGCAATTGACGAACAGCGGCAGGCGATGGAAATGTTAGAGACTATGGTTCAACGTCTGTTGGAGCGGCAACCTAACCCTCCTCCTGTCAATCCTCCTGCCCCTATCGAGGGAATCGCCCTGGCCACCCTGGGGGTGGGTGTTACCCTAGAACAGCAAGAAATATGCAGTATGATGATATCGACGATGAAGATTTTGAAGAGGATATTGCAGAGAATCAGAAACAGCGAAACTTGCCAGAATATAGGATCTGCGCTGACATACCATTGTTCCATGGGAAGTTGCAGATTGAGGAGTTTCTGGATTAGGTCTCAGAGGTCGAGAGGTTCTTCGATTTTACCGAGGTTGCGGAGGGGCGTCAAGTCAAACTAGTTTCGTATAACTTGAGAAGTGGAGATGCTATTTGGTGGGAACGATTGCAGATGGATAGATGGCGCCAAGGCAAGGCTCCTGTACGATCTTGGAGGCGATGAAACAACTTATGATGAACAAGTTCTTGTCACCTGATTATGAGCAGTTTATATTTCAAAGTTACCAGAATTGTGTGCAAGGAAATAAGTCTGTTACAGATTATACTGAGGAGTGGTCCAGGATTTCCGTCCGTAACAATCTAAGCGAAACTGAGGTACACCAGGTTTCCAGGTATCTGGAAGGGTTGAAACCATCTATTCAAGATAAGATTGGTCTATAAGTAGTGTGGACAGTAGATGAGGCGCATAACATGGTACTGAAAGCAGAACTGATGGAGAAAACGTCTGATCATTTTTTCAATTACAAGAAGGACATGGGTGAGTCATCTTATACAATGACGAATAGAGACAGGTTCACACCAGGTGATGGCTAGCCTCAGTCTAAGCCTATTGTAGATCAGGCTCAAAGAAGTGCTGCCTCCTATAATAACCAAGCTGGGACTCTCACATCAACAATTACAAAAGAAGCCCTGGGAGCGCCAAACCTGTATGCTAAATCGGGTGGTTTTAAATGTTACAGATGTGGCTAGCCCGGCCATTGCTCAAATGAATGCCCATCCAAGACGTCAGTGAATTTCGTGGGTGCTGGAGAGGATGGTGAAGAGGAGCAGTATGTGGAAGAAGGGGCTGAATTGGATGAACTGTTAGATGGGACAGAAATTGCAGAAGAGCAGAAAGAGCTTGTAAACTGTGTAGTTCAGTGTGTCATGTGCTCAACAAAGGTGGAGGAGTCCTCGTAGAGAAATAACATTTTTAAAGCTTATTGCAGTGTGCAAGGTAAGATCTGTGATTTGATTGTTGATACTGGTAGTTGTGAGAATTTTGTGTCCAAAAGGTTGGTGGAGCATTTGAAGTTGCGAGTTGAAAAACACCCAAAACCTTATGTGATTGGGTGGATCCAAAAAGGGCCTAAGGTGGACGTGACACAAGTGTGTAAAGTCCCTAACTCAATTGGTCAGCACTACCGAGATGAAGTAGTTTGCGATGTAGTTGACATGGTTGCTAGCCATGTTTTTTTGGGAAGTCCTTGTCAATTTGATGTGGATGGCACCTATAGGGGTAATGTTAATGTGTATGTTTTCAATTGGGAAGATAGAAAAATCGTGATGGTTCCAAAGCGGAGTTCAGTTGGTGTCTCAACTAAGGCTACATAGGGAGGTCAATCATTGCTCTCCTTAGTTACTTCCCTAACAGATTTGGAGTTGGAGGTTAAGGAAGCACAGGAAGTTCATGTTGTGGTCGTGCGGCTTCAGTGTTAGAAGAAAAGGAGGAGCAGAGGGAGGTGATACCCGAAAAGGTATAGTCCATTTTGGCCGAATTCAGTAAGCTGGTATCCGATGATTTACCAAATCACCTTCTACCATTGAGAGACATTCAGCACCATATTGATTTTGGTTCCAGGAGCAAGTTTACCAAATTTGCCACATTATCGAATGAGTCCCAAAGAAAATCAGATTCTGCAGGAAAAAGTGGAGGAGTTATTGAAAAAGGGGTTTATTCGTAAGAGTATGAGTCCATATGCTGTTCCCGTGTTACTTGTTCCAAAGAAAGATGGGAGTTGGATGATGTGTGTTGATAGTCGCGCCATAAACAAGATAACAGTTAGGTACAGCTTTCCAATTCCACGGTTGGATGACATACTGGATATGTTGGAGGGTTCGAAATTGTTCTCCAAAATTGATCTGCGAAGTGGCTGTTATCAAATTCGGGTGAAACCAGGTGATGAATGGAAAACGGCGTTCAAAACGAAGGATGGACTCTATGAGTGGATGGTGATGCCTTTCGGGTTATCAAACGCACTGAGTACATTTATGCGGCTCATGAACTAGGTATTGCGACCTTTCATTGGAAAATATGTAGTTGTTTATTTTGACGACATATTGATTTATAGCCGGATTGAGAGTGATCATATGGAGCATCTTCGGGCTGTGTTGGAGGTGTTATCCTAGATTATACTGTTTATTAACTTTAAGAAGTGCAGTTGGCTGACTGATAAATTGTAATTCTTGGGGTATGTAGTTAGTTCAGAGGGGAATTTGGTTGATGAAGAGAAGGTGAAAGCCATTCATGAGTGGCCTACACCGAAGACAGTAGGAGAGGTGAGGAGTTTCCATGGGTTGGCGACGTTTTACCGTAGGTTTATTAGAGATTTCAGCAGTAATGTAGCACCTATAACCGAGTGTCTGAAGAAAGGAAAATTCCATTGGGGAGAAGCAGCTGACACGGCTTTCGCAGTGATTAAAGAAAAGTTGTGCGCTAACCCTGTCCTTGCCTTACCCAGTTTAGATAAATTATTCGAAGTGGAGTATGATGCTAGTAGAATTGGGATTGGAGCAGTTTTGTCATAGGAGAAGAAGCCAGTGGCGTTTTTCAGTGAAAAAATAAGTGATGCCGGCCGAAAATGGAGTACTTATGATCAGGAATTTTATGCCATTGTTCGTGTTCTAAAACATTGGGAGCAGTATCTGATTCAGAGGGAATTCATTTTATACACTAACCATCAAGCATTAAAGTACCTGAATAGTCAGCAGAGTTTAAGCAATATGCATGCTCGGTGGTCAACCTATTTTGCAAAAGTTTCCATTTGTTTTGAGACACAAATCTGGGATTCTGAATAAAGAAGCAGATACCTTGAGTCGGCGTGCAAGCTTGCTGGTAACAATGCAACAAGAGGTTATCGGATTTGAGTTTCTGAAAGAATTATACGCTGATGATGAAGATTTCGCCGAGGTATAGGGGTAAGTGTGTTTTGAAACAAACGGAAGGGGAATTCCATTTGGTTGATGATTACCTGTTCCGTGGCAATCAGTTATGCATTCCAATGAGCTCTTTGAGGGAAAAACTGATTAGGGGTTACATGGTGGTGGTTTGAGCGGTCACCTGGGACGTGACAAGACTATCAGTGGAGTAGCTGAGCGGTATTACTGGCCTCAGTTGAAACGCGACGTGGGTAATTTTGCTCGCAAGTGTTTTGTGTGTCAGACTTCTAAGGGGCAAGCGCAGAATACGGGTCTCTACATGCCTCTACCTGTACCGAATGGCATATGGGAAAATCTGTCTATGTATTTTATTTCGGGACTTCCGTGGACTCAAAGTGGGGTAGACTCTATGTTTGTGGTGGTTGACAGGTCTTCCAAAATGGGGCATTTTATTCCTTGTCGGAAAACCTCTGATACATCTCATGTTGCCCTACTATTTTTTCGTAAAGTGGTTTATCTACATGGAGTCCCTCAATCCATCACTTTCGACAGAGATTCCAGGTTTCTCAGTCATTTTTGGGTTACATGTGGCGCCTGATGGACACTACTCTCAAGTTCAATAACACA